TTTGAAATGCTTGATAATCCTTAGCCTAAAATATTAAAAAAACGAAATGAGCGTTTAATTTTTGATTTCGTCTTAGCTCAGTTGTTTTAATCAATTTCAGGCAACTTGCAAGTTTCAACTTCAAGTTACGTTCATTACATCGGTTTTTATTATGTGTAGTTTGCAGAAGTTATTTATATGTTGAAGCTCGAAATTGTTTCCGCTTATTTGATTCGATTTTTTGAATTTTTTGCAAAGTAATTCAAGATTTCGGAAGCTTTACTTTTGGCAAGACCAGATCAATCATGTTTCTATAAAATGGTTTTTCAATTTTTCGGGGTGCTGGATTTTTTTTTCAGGAAAAGTTGAACTTGTTTGGTTTGGCGGATCGACTTTTAATGTTTTTTGGAGGAACAGTTAGCAATCTAGATGAAAAATATAAATCCAATCCAGCTTTTTTCTAGCAATCGTCCCTGTATTTTCAAAAGATTATTGGCAAAGGTCACAGATTTGAGCATTGTGGTACCCCGCTCGGTGTGCACTTTTGTTCGGTTTTTTGTCCCGAAACTTTACTAATCTGTTAGCGTTCTTCATGAAACGACAAATGAGGTTGAAGATTCTTCCTCTAAAACCAAAACATTGTAATTTAATCAGAACTATTGAATGATTTTTTTTCTCAAATGTTTTCTTTAATTTGAGGAAAGTTCATGGGATTGGAGGGTTTTAAGGAGGAGCTTGCCTGACGATTTTATAGCCAAAAATTTCGAAAAGTGCCCCGCAACAGTTTTTTTTGAAATTTTGTCTTGTAGTAAAATTAAGTTCGTGTTCCAAGAGCCGAGCAAATTTTTTTTAACCTGTGAAAAAGGAAACTGGGGCTAATTTTGCCAACTAAAGGGGAGTACTACGTGCATTGAATAATTTTGAAGTTCTATCGCCTTGTTGAGGTTTTGATTGGTACCACAAAACGTGCTAAAAAAATTAGTTGCTTAATTTATCCTCTACATTAAATGAAAATCCGAAAGCGCCATGGACGCAAAAATTAATTTTTCCATTGAGCACGACTTGTATAAAGGATCAGATCAGAACTTTTAAGAAATGTGAACTCGATTCAACTTCAAGGCTAGACGGTACCTGCCCACTTTTTAATCAAATTTGGCACTGAATCACATAAGACTGAAATCAATCAAATAAAAACAGCATCTTCCATGCTTAAAAAAACATAAATTTCAGCAAACCGATTCGCGCTATGATTTAACTTGAAATAGCACAAAATTTCGAAGCCAAAAATAATTTGCTTAGAAAAACTTAAAACTTCGCGAACCAATTCAGTATGTGAAATAACTTGAAATATTTCGGAAATCGATTCAGTCTTTAAAACAACTTTATGTTTTTGCAAGTTTCATAATTAGAATTTAGTGCTTAAAAAAAGTTGAATTGATGGCGAACCGATTCAGCCTAGGAAATAACTTTAAATTTTTTAAAGCTCTTTAGCTTAGCTGGCTAACTTGGAAAAATTTAATTTTTTCGCAAACCCATTCAGGATATGAAATAAATTGAATTGTTTCAAGCTTTCATAGCCTAAATAGCTGGCTCAGAAAAAAAATTCGCCAACCGCTTCGGCCTATAAAATAACTTGAACTTATTCATAGGCTAAATAAAATTAGTAGCAAAAAGTTCGGACAGGCAGAATTAATTAAAAGAAGCAATCAGTGCTTTTCGACACTTTTTTTGCATGCAAAATCTGAAGCCGGACAAACTTGAACTTTTTGTCAGACCAAATTCGAAACGAAGATCTTCGATTATCTGATGGTAGCCTAATTTTTAAATACTGCATTGAACATCCAGATTTTATTATAAATAGACATCTAGGTTATTTTGAACAAAGAAACAGATTAGGTTTGACCCAAAAAAAAAACAAATTGTGGTGAATATGATCAAATCAGTCAAAATTGGAAACTTATCGCAGGAAAACATTAGCCACCCTGAGCAAAAATTTTCCTGTTTCAAGGTTAACTATTCGACGCTTCGGATGCAATTGCCCGACATGGTTATAAGTTTTGAGCAAAACTCTGCTTTATGAACTTTCGACGTTACGTTCATTTCAGTTTTAAATTCCTTTGATGTCTAGACAATTTTTTTTTTATTTTATTTTTTCTGTCCGAACTTTCGATTTGCAACTCTCTATAGCTTCTTGAAGAAAATCTTGAACTTTTCGTGAATCGATTCGCTTCATTAAACATCTTAAAATTTTTCAAAGATCCATAGCTGACATAGCTTTCTTAGAAACACTTGAAATTTTTGCCACTCAGTCCGCTCTTTGAAACAACTTGAAATTTTTCAGAGTATAATTGTTTAAATAGCTTGCTTAGTAAAACTAAACTTTTTGCCAAGTAATTCCCTCTAGGAACCAACCTGAAAATCTTCATAGTTTCTTTGCTTGAATAACTTGCATAAAAAGATTATTGTTTGCCAACGATTCAGTCTAAGAAGCAACTTGAAATATTTCAAAGTTTCAACGCTTGAATGGCTTCAATATAAAAACTTTCCGCCATCTGAATCGCTTCATGAAGCAAATTGATCTTTTTCAAAATTTCATAGCTGGAGTAGCTTGCTTAGAGAAACTTTACTTTTTTTGCGAACCGGTCTAGTCTGAAATACTTAGAATTTTCCAAAGTTTCCTCGCTCGAATGGCTTGCATAGGAAATTCTACGTTTTTCCAAAACGCTTCGATATAAGAAACAAGTTGAGTTATTTCAAAGTTTCATAACTTGAATAGCTTGCTTAAGCAAAACATGCTGTCTTGAAATAACTTCACAAAATTATTTAATTGTCATGGCTTGAGTAGCTTGCTCAGAAAAAGTTCAAGCTTACGCGAATCAATTTGTTCTCTGAGATTTAAAAGTTTTTAAACCGATTTATCAAATGGCTCAACTTGAAATTGTTTGAAGATTCATTACTGGAACAGCTTGATCAGAATAACAACTTTTTGGCAAGCCGATTGATTATTGGGGACGATACGGGCTTGCTATATCATTTTAATTGATCATTACTATCACTTTTCCATTGAACAATTACAATTCTATTACTTTTTGTTTGTCATTGACACTTTGCTTCAGTTTGTTTATTGAGTTCAGCGAGCTCGAGCAAAAATGATGGGCTTATTGTGAGCCAGAGTCGGAGCTTGTAGTGGGAAGCACGGAGTTTTTTTTGTTGAGGGTTTTTGAGCGGATGAATGTGTCTTGGTTGAGGTAATTAGCATTGTGGTAAGGAGTTTGCTTTGGTATAGTCAGATCCCCTGTCATCAAACTGTGCGGGGGAAAAGCTCGCACTTGAGCTCTAGTTTCAGGTTCATCACAGCTTGGTTGCTTTCGATTTCAGTAGTGGCACTACCAAATGGTCTTGATTTGCTAGAAAAAGATTCGCCCAACGAGATAGCTCAGTCTAGAAATTAGGAAATAATAAACAAACGGACTATCGTAAGACAAGACAGTACAGACAGCCTTTGATAGAGACATTTCATACCTGGAAGTCATCGAGGAATCAAGGGTTGCAAAAGAGTCTGACAAAATTAGATCATATCAAAGTAACTGTAAAAGAAAATGAAGCCTTGTAAAACCATTAAAAAATTTCGGCTTTTTTCGATAATTGAAAGTTATGAAAGTATCAAAAATTCAAAAGAAGCGCATGTAATATCGAAAAAACTCTCGATCGTATTTGCGATGCCGTCCCTGGTTTTGTGTGAAAAAAAATAATCAAGAACTGGCAATCGCCAGTTTTTGTTCATTTACCGCAAATTGTCGTGTTTTGTGGGTTGAGTGGGGACAGAAACCTAGAAATTCTTAGAATATTACTAATGGTTCTAACTGACTGCAGCTATCGTTGCAAAACGATTAACACAACGAAATCAATTTTTGCATTGCTGAAGACCTATTTTCTACAGCTGAATATAAATTGTCTGCTTTACTTGCTCTACTAAACTGAATTAAAACGAAAAATGTTGAAATTGGTTTTTCTCAAAGCTGAGCTGACGTTTTGATAGTTTTTAAACAGCGATAGAACCACTGATGAGAACAAAGGTTTCATGATGATGTAGAACATTATGTAAAAAGAAATAAAACAAAACAAGAAACTCAAAAGAAGAGAAAAATTTTTCTCCTCTTCAAAAGAAGAGAAAAATCTTTATCGAAACAGAACAAAAAACCTCCGAATACAAAATAGCGAAGGGGAGCGCTTGACAAAATAATGCAATTTTTGGTTAAAATTTTCCAAGAAGACACCAAAAACGGCATTTTTGATCTGGTTTTTCAAAAATTTGCCTGCGAAGCATTTTTTTTGTCAAAATAGGGTCTTTATAGTGTTTTGTGTGCACGCTCGGAAACTCAATTTGGTCAACCTAAAAAAAAATGTCGACAAAATTTTCGACAACGTTTTGAAAATCCTCCCCCCCCCCCCTGGAGAAAATCCTAGATCTGCCCCTGGTCGGAACAATTAGAAAACTCAACTTTTAAAGTGGATTGAAAAGTTATCAAAGCTCATTCAAAAACGATTTGTTATCTGAATTATTCACCTGTAATTGATTTTAGTGTCTTATTTTTCGGTTCAAAAAAATTTTCTGGCGGATTTGGATGGATGAGTGGGTGGGGCAGGCGGATGGGCGCTTTTTTCTATCGAGAAAAATTTTTGAGGCCATTCAAACTGCAATAAATTCTAGATAGCAATTTTTATTTTGAAAGCTGCAAATTTTTCGGATGCCTGAAATTTTTGGTCATCAATCCAGATTCTCAACTTGAAAATTCAATCTGGATCCCATTATTTTAGTTGCTTGTAACGTCAGCTTTTGGTTCTTTTACTGATATTAAATTGATCACAAAACAATTTTTCGAGAATATAGATTAATTCAGTTAGTATATATAAGCTGAAGACACCAATTTTAAATACCACATACCCAATTTATAACTCAATACACGAGTTGAGTGCAAAAGATAAAACGAATTAACGAGTTTCACAATTTAATTCCGAGCTTACTGCTTTGCTGGTTTGTTCACAAGGTATACTTTGTTGCTGGACTTGACGTTCTGTCCGAACACGTACTCGTCCTGCACCTTGTCCCAATCGGCCTGCCATCCCTGCTTGCCGTATCTGGGCTCATTCAGGAACGCCGAGACGACATAGTTGCACGCCGAGATCACGTCCCAAACTGGGAGTCCAGAGCATTCTCGGATCGCGTTTGCGTATGGGGGCAATTCGGTGCACTCCAGCAGGATGGCCTTGACCTTGGGGTTCTTCTTGAGGGTATCGTTCACGAGTTTCACCATTCCTGGTTGCACCTTGGCAACGTCAACCTTCTGGCCGAGAGCGACTGCCTCGAATCCTGGGATGTTCTCGCATCCGAGGACCTTGATTCTCGGGTCGACAATGGAGAACCCACATGCTTTCTCGAAAGCTGCCGCCATGTTTCCGAGGGCAACTCCGTTAGCAGTCATGACAATTATTTCATCATCGGGTGAAAGAGTAGCCTGAATGGACTTCAGCTGAAGGAGAGAGCTCATGACCATGCACACTGGCTGTTGCTTCTGGATACTCAGAGCCACCTCCTGGAAGTAGACCATGAACCCACAGTCCCCCGTGATGACGTTGACTTTCTTAATGTTGATGAGCCAGTTGACAGACTCGATGAATCGCTTCTGGACTTCAGCAGTCATTTTTCCCGACTGTGCCATTTCGAAAGTGAGTCCGGGAACTACTTTGTAGTAGACATCGTACCCGTAGGTATCAGGACAGTCGATGTCTCCACATGCGGGAGGGTAGTCATAGTCCAATCTGATCACGCCGAGAGTGGGAGCTGCTTTCAGAGGCATTTTGCAGGGAAGTTTTTGATTTTTAGTTCGAAATTTTAACTAAAGAAAGATCGGACTGATTCTCAGATTACAAACTGCGGAAGTGAAATTTTACAAATTAAAATTTTTGATATAATGAAATATCAACCTGTTAGCAAATAAGTACCGGCCATGTGTTTCTCTATATGCATGGTAATATTCATATCTTAAGGCTGGAATTTTTCCAAAAAGTCAAAAACTGTACCAAGAGTCAATGGCGATGTACGTTTATGTGGATTTCAAGTGCAACCATATGGCAATCTTTTGAAATGCTGGAAAAATCACATAAATCAGTGCTGGTTACAAACTGTTTTTCCGACTTTAGCTATTTGTTTCTGCAGACTAAAACTAAATTATATTTCTTTACAGTTGGTATATAGAAGGAACTTAGAGGCTACTTCGTTGGAACCAAAGATGGCAGCTTTAAATTTGCGAGGGGAAAGTCCTAAAGAGTGAGCGGATAATAAGGAGTGGAGATAGTAGATCAGACCTCAAGAGTCTCATCTGTCAAATTAAAAAAGCGCATTCAACTTCCTCTCGAATTCAACCTTCTTGGATTTAGAAATCCAACTATTTCTAATTCGTAAACTGTTCTAAAATAAGTACAAATTCAAGGGTTGCTTCGGTTATAATTTTGAAAAAAAGAAGTCTGAAAGTAGCGTGTTCTTAACTTTCCTCGACAGTCGACAAAACAAAGGTAATAAAAATTTAGCGCAAGCAAGGCACTTTGTTCCGAAGTTTTGCTAGCAATGGTTTTTCCTTCAAATAATTTTCGAAAATCGAAGCAACAGTTCTGCTTGATGACTGAATTCGTACGCCACGTCAAAGCTATCAACGAAATAAAAGCTGGTTTAAAAAGATTTTCATCTGCATCATTTGCAAAGTTATAGCAATCGTTCAAAATTGTGATTTTGTTAATTTGAAGCTAATGCCGTGTAGGATTCTTCTAAGGAGCTTTTTATCTATATATTTTTATAACTTAATTTATTCATTCTGATCTTTTTTCCAGCAGAACATGTCAATTTCATATAACCTCTTAGTTAAAAAAACATGTCTAGGAAGATTTACGTTTACATTTACATCGTCATAAGTTATCGCTGAAACAAACTTCTATTTTGTAAATAATAGCATAATCGGCGATTTTGATTAAAAATTTTGAGAAAAACAGAACAACAGCATTCAAGAGACCCCATTAATATAAAAACAGATTAATTATCCGATGCTTAATTCTTTATACATCCCCCTAGTCAGTCAATTCTTCGGAAAAATTCAACCACTTTCTAAGAGGGCTCGTCTTATTTCATTACCTAACCTGCATTGTAAACGTAAGGCAACGTCCAGGTTCAGTAAACTAGAAACTTCTTCAAAAAAAATGAAGATTAGAAAAAAATTGTTAAAGAAAACAATTCGTAACAGTAGTTTAAGAGGGGAGCACTGATTCAGGCGCAGTATTCCTCTTACCATGTCAAGGAGTTCGCTATTACATCTGCGAAGATAACCAAAAGCTTTTCTGTGCAAAATGTATTGAGGCTGAAGAAAGTCAATGAAATCTGAAAGGGTGTTCCTCAAAGAATTTTGGTAGTTGGTGGTATACAGCTTGCAATGTACAAGAATCTCATTCGTGACACTTTTATGTTAATATTTTTTTGTTGAACCTATTTTGTTGTTGTTCTGACCATTGAAAATGGGGAGAAACTTTGTATTCGGGTGTGTTTTAGTTTTTTTGTTCAACTTTTTGTTTTCCACACAAAATCAGCTACCCCAAAAAATGCTTGGACAAAGTTGAGTGATATATCATTTTGAAACCCTTTCATTCGTGATTCGAACGATTTTTAAAAAATTCAAAAAAATATTAACAGTGTCGAGAAAAATCGATTTGAAACCTTTGATTTTTGGTCTAATTTTGAGCTAATTAGAAAGGCAGTAAGTAATTGCAATAGCTTATTCAAGCTTATTTTAAGCCGTGAAAATTCAAATTTACTCTGGTAAAGGTAGCTTTTGGAGTTTCTTAGCGCAATTTTAGGAATTAAAAAAAATCAATTTTTTTTTTCGTTTCTCTAATCATTATTCTTCAAAAACTGTTATTCCAATTGATACTATGACTCTCAAATATGCCAAAATTCTATTATTTGGTTCCGATTTTTTTTTATCGCGACATGCAGAAGATCATACTTTTTAAGCAATAAAAAAATCATGGCGGTAGTTTAGCAAGAAATATCTCCCAAAATCGGGTTTTTCAATTGATCTCCAACACATCTCAAACCTGAGAATAGGCAGGGTAGTTTTAGAGGAAAGTCAAAAAGTTCCCTAAAAACGCTAAGAAAGTCAAAACATTGACTTTTTCGCAAAATATATTTTTTTTGTTCTAAAATCATTTCGGCTTAGCCGCATATGCAGAAAAGTTTCACCCAATTTGTTGTTTTGGTTGAACGCAAAAATTTACGAGAGTAGCTTTCGAGAAAAGTCGAATAGATTTAAAAAACTGTACAAAATCAATTAGTGATTTTTCCGAGGGCCATAACTTTTATGTAACGGAAAAATGGTTGTAGTCGATTATGCTGGGGAATTTTTCATAATCCGCTTTATCCATTGAACTTAAAATTTGGATGAGTAGTTTGTGAGAAGACGAAAAAAAGCATCTAATAATATAGGTCAAACGTTCCACTCACAGACTTTTTGAAGGCTGTAGAGAGTACATCAAAATTAAAAAAGACTAGAGATTATGCAGAGACACATTACAGTAAACAGTATTTCCGTTGATACACCGTTTTTGAAAAGTGCTAAAAACTTTTGCGTAACATTTTTGCAAAAAGTGAAAAAAAGCGTCTCACAAAATACAAAACCCAATCACATAGTTTTAAATTGGCGCATAAGTATATTGGTGCGTATGGTACTGCCATCTATCAAGCTTAGTCAAAAGTCAAATGGGAAAACTTGACTGACATTCCATACCAAAAAATAAAATTATTGTACAGAGGCAAAGCTGCGCTTCGCAAAAACTATCAAAAAACGACTTAAAGCAGATCTATTAGTTGAAATACAAAAAAGTAGTAAGGTTCCTTGAATAGATTAAGCTTTTGCCAATAGTTGGATACAGACACTATGAAAAAACACCGAAACTTCCAATGCTACAGAACGTGATTATTGCAAAATATTTAGCAAATGAGCAAATTTAATTGAAATTTGGACTTGAAAAAAGAAGGTTCAAAGTATAACACTACGCTGGCTTGTGGAAACACACAGAGAAAAGAATCCTCCGGAAAAATGCAAGCAGAAAACTTTTCAAAAATTCAAAAGATAAAACTTTTTAAAATGTAACGATTCTATTTTCTGACCTGAAACCTATCTGATTAACAATTATGCGTTTGGAAAAAACAATTCACTCCATGTGTTTTTGTCAAACTCCAACTCAGAGAAAATTCATGAGCTTTCAGGGCTTACACAGAGAAAATTCAAGAGCTTTTAAAAGTAGAAAAGCTCAAGTTTTGCATATAACAGTTTTGAATGTAACAAACTAATGACAATCACACTTATTTTTTAAGTAAAAAAAGAGAATGCATTAAACCAAATTGCGCATAAATAATGCATTTCAAAATCTATTGACCTAGCCAAAAGGAATTTGTAATAAAGTTAACGAATTTAGGTAAAAGTTAATGAGTTTTGGTGAAAAATTTCAACTTTCGTTTTCGGACAATCATATACGTTAAAATTTATTGATTTTCATGGCTCATGTATGAGGGACACTTCTTTTATATTATGTACCCAATTAGAAGACTGCGTGAATGGATAAGTTTTTTTTTATTTCGTTGGAAATCGGACAAGGTAAGTTTATTTTTGAAACCGAAAGTCGCTCACGTTTTTTTACGACTTTTTTTTATAAATCGAAAAAATAAATTGCCTTCCATTAGGCAAAATAATTTGGAGTGAACATAAAAAATCAAGTCAAATCTCAAAAATTCCTGAAAAAAATTGAACAAATTAACACGAACATTATAATTGTTATATGATTTTGTTCATTATTACTTAATTCATTTTGCAGTATTAATCTTTCAAAGTTTATTGAATAATTGAAGCTTTTTGTGGACTAAGTATGCTCGGATAAAAATGAGGCTACTAACTACTCAAATTGATACAAATGAATATATATGAAAAACATCTTAGCATGCTTTACTGAAAGTATTAGACAAACTTATTATTCGAAAAAAAACACACGATTTGATTGTGAGTGTAAATTGCTACTAATAGGTGTTAATAGTGATATAATCCACGAAGGAAAAAAAGATTTTTAATAGATAGGAATTGATTTATTTCTTTGGTCAAGCACAGGACAAAGCATTTTCTGCACCAGTTCCTTTTTCATTAAAAAAAATGCTACCACGCAATGGATTCGAGCCTGCGACCTAGAGATTATGAACCTCATGCCTTAAACTCTCAATCACGGGTGATTCAGCATCAGCAAACACTAGCAAAAAATAAAGCAGACAACAGATGCTATGAAATATCAATGCTACAGATGGGGCTTGTAACAAAAGTGCTATCAAACGGACACCTCTATTTGCAAGTTGGGCTGGGAAACAAGTCAAACTAAAAAGCTACGCTCGCAAGTGTTTTCACAAAAAACATCTCAAGAAATATTCTATCTACCGTCATAAGTTTTTGATTGTCACTTTATTGAGTTTTTCTTATACGTTTCAAGTTATAAGAAAAAATTTTGAGCCACATGCAATACAGAATTATGAACCGCAAAAATGAGATTCGAAATATGAAGAGTTTTCGCATGTATGTCCTTAGAAAATCTAGTTTGCATGATTTCTCAAATAACTATAGAAAAACTGACATCAAGAAGAAAAACAACCAATCCATTAATGAGAAACGAAAATAAACCTTGCAAAATTGCAAAATGGAATTTTAAAATTACAAGGAAAGACAAAATAGAAAAGAGAAGACGAAAAGTTGAAGAAATTGGCATCTAAGTGACCAAACTCCAACATATAGGTTTAGATGGAATTTAGCGCCATGTTCTCGCTGACTTCCAAATAACATCCTTCAATAAAACGGATAAATTACATTTGTCTAAAACACATGAGCACTACACAGATTCTGCAATCGAGTTTTTTTGCTGAGCATTATTGTTTCGGTTTGAAAAAGTGGAATCGAAACATAAAAAACGTGTTTGTTGGCCCACATTCAAAGCAAGGATCTTATGTGACCTAAATCTTCTCAAAACCGTCAGTCATGGGCAAAATATTAGCATAATTTTTTGAAAACTTTGGGTTAGCAGCATAAAAACTTGTTAAAATAAAAAGCATGAAAAAATTCATGCTATGAACCCAAAACATTGAAAAAATTATGCTATTTTTCCCCCTATAATCTATGATTTTGACTGGGTTAAAGGTCCCAAATGATCATACAGACAAGATACTCAGCTCTTTGCTTATGAAAACTTGAACTAGAGTCAGAAAAAATATGTATGGAGAACTTTATTAAACATTATTCATAAAAGATTTGAAATTTTGACAAAAATGCTAGGAACTAAGTTACCATCTTTAAGATTTTATATTAAAAACTACAGTAATTTTTCGAAAGAAAAAACGGTCTCTTATAATTAAGCCGACAAACTATCATAATCTGGATTATTTTATTCTTTTTTCACAATAATGAAAAAATTCAACTGGAATCAGGGCTCAAAAAGCTTGAATTTTACTCACTCGACTTTTTTGAGGCATTCAAAATTTTGTTTATTGAAAACGTTTGAGCATTTTTCAACTTTCAAAAATATATACACAGGCGAAGCTGCGCTTCGCAAACACTTTCGAGAACACCACAAAAAAACAGGTCTATCAAGTGACATAAGAAAAGTAGAAATATGCCTCGAATTTGCAATAACTTGAGGCTTAACAAAAACTCGTAACAGCAAAAATCTGCGACCTAGCAAACTTGAGTCTCAAGCAGTAACCATTCAGCCAGGGATGCTTTAACTCCCCAAAAACTAGCCACCAATAACGCAGCTACACATGCTAATAAATTGCCAATTCGATGCAGCAAAAGTAGCACCAAATATTTAAAAAATTCAATTTTGCATGCAATAAATATGAAATCATAAAGCCATATTATGTATAAATTATGCAATTCAAAAAGCTGCAATATATTAAGTTAGAAAATTTCTGAAAAAGAATTTATTATTGTTGTTGTTTCAAACAAATAGCTTTTTTCGGTTCACTTGATGAATTAAAAATGCATCAATTGGGTAAACTTATAACTATTCGAATGTCAAAGCACATGCTATTAATATGCTGTAAAGGTGCAACAAATAAGCTGTCATGCCAATTCCATGCTGCAAATTTTTTTGCTTGAAGTGGCGTTTATATTTCACACCACTTCACTTTATTTATGATACTTAGACAAACATTTTTAGATTTCTCCGCGAAATAAAAAAAGTTTGCCTTGCCGCTGCATTTCCCTCTAATTATTCTAGTTTCATGAAAGAATAGCAAATAACAAAACTGCGACTGAGTCGAAACAATAATTGCGACTTAGATCGAAAAAAAACTTGCTTTGCAAGTGTAATCAAATTGAATTGCAATAGTTGTTGATAATTGCCATTCTTTCATGAAACTAGAATAATTAGAGGGAAATGCAGCGGCAAGGCAAACTTTTTTTATTTCGCGGAGAAATCTAAAAATGTAAAATCAATTTCCGAACCTAGAAGTAGTTCAAGTTTTCATGACATTTACCCTCGTGCTGTTCGATAGAAGAGATTGCCTTACTTTTAACAAAGAAAAAGAACTGAACTTAAAAATCAATCAAAAGTCAAACCTAGAAAAATCAGATTTGAGTGTCATAAAACTCGAGCATGAAAAAAGAAAAAGATTTGAGCGGAGTCTTTGTTTAAAAAAAACTTGAAAAAAATAACTTCGCACGGTCTATAGAAGTGACAATCATTTCGTTGCTTTACATACAAGAAATTTGAAGTGTCAAAAATAAATTTATAGTAGATTTGAAGGAACCCGGTAGATTTGAAGGAAATAGCATTGTAACACAATTTACGAACCGACAACTAAGCGAACAAAATCTGGGTATACGCCCGTTGAGTTGAAAAAAATCTCGTCATAGTAGAACATCCTGTTCGGAAAAACCATAATGATAACCAAGATTTAAGTTGACAATTTAATTACTGAAACTGAAAACAAAATTTTAAAAAGGAATAGAGTTCAAATTAAGTTTCAGCCGTTTCCTTGATGCAAAAAGAAGTGAAGTCGAGAAGGGTTGCGTCTCTCTGCAACTTCTCCAGTCGGTCCAGGTGTCTCTCTTGGTAGCAAATCAGCTGCTCTATCACTTCCGCTACGCCTGGCAACTCTAAAACAGAATTTTTGTGGCTGCTGATTTGTTCGGTTGTCTACTGCTCACACACCAGCCACGTAAAAATTGAATGTAAGGAGCTTTTCTCCACAAGGTCCAACAAAAGAGCCGCTCGGTTCAAGGAGCACAACTTCAAGGAGCACAACTGTAAAGCCTGCGGTAACCAATTACATGTACTTTAATTAGTTTCGGGGCAAAAAAATTCTGCCAATTTTTTCAGTATTCTTGCCTGTGAGAACAAACCCACGAAATGCGTTTAATTCGTTAAAGGTAGGATAATTATTCTAAAAATAGTGAACCATTCATGAAAAAATTTTCAGAACAGGCAAATGGAAGCTTCGCATCACTTGCGATACATCACAAGCATAGCAAGGCTAGCTAGCCGACAGAAAAACCAAACAAAACCGCTAAGCTGATGTTTTTTTCAAGAAGTGTAATTTTCATAAATTTGACTTAATATACTAAAATGGATCGACAACTGTCAGAGTTGAAATAGCATTGTAACACAATTTACGAATCGGCAACTAAGCAAACAATTTCTGGGTATATACCCGTTGAGTTGAAAAAATCCTGTCATAATAATAGGTTACAAAATACTTAGACATTCAAAGTTTTCATATTGAACATATTTCAGCAAAAAAAAACGAAAGGGAAATGATGAAAACTCGTAAGCAACAACATAACCATAGCACATAGATTCGTTAACAACATAACTACAAATTTCGACAGAAGCGAAGCTGCACTTCACAAACACAAGCAAGAAAACGCCAGAAAGTAGCTCTTAAGGAAGTGAAAAAATGAATCAGGAAAGAAAAAGTAAACATATCTCGAAAAAACTTCTGATCTGCCAGAATCGAATTCCAAACAGGAGATACCAAGTCTCACGACCTTGACTTGTTTTGAAAAAACTTCAACTTTCGAATTTCAAAGAAATAATACAGGCCGTTAACGCTAATTGAAGTTAAAGAACAATTTATGATAACTTTTCAATGAGAATTAACCCAATTTGAGAAAACTGGACCAAAAATATTTTTTATACCACGCCGGGTAATCTAAAAATTGAAATCCATTTTGTAAACTAGAAGTGGACCTTTCATTTTTGCTGATCAATAGTGGAAATTACCTTCTTTTCAAAAACGAAATGAACTGAATTTTTAACAAAAGCCTATGTCAAAACCGAAAAAATCAACTTCGAACATTGCATGATTTCACTGAAAAAAAACAACGACCTATTTGAGTATCTTCAATATGTTGATTGGCAATTAAAACCTTCAAAGTATTTCAGAAGTCGAAACAAAGCATAGAACAAGAATTTGAAATGCTTAAAAATGTCTTGTGCAGTTACTTTTGAACAGGCCTTTACGATATGAGTCCCGTGGGCAAAGTTGTTCACGCGCAAAAAATTTGCAATACAATTCCTCTCGCAAACTTTCTTACCAATTAAAGATTCCGGGCTCCAGCTTTTGAACACGATTTCCATCAAAATTTGAGCACTGTGACAATTCTTTGAATTGGAGTTCCAAATAACACAAAATTTCAACAGTTGAACCAAATCGGCCTCCGGTAGATCTGAAAAAGAATGGCGATTAGGATGATAACTGCAAATCGAAGGTGGTTCTCAAGGTTAATTGAAATAACTGATTGCATTATGTTCCTAAAAATTGTTGGCACTGGACATTTGAAACTGAATTCAGAAAGTCTTCTTCAGTATAAAAAATATCATAGCTACACAAAATACCATTAATGACGTTCATCCTCCAAATAGTTTTAAATTCAGAGTAACGAACTGGCTTTTTGAGTTGAAAAACTATTAGATATTTAAACATAAAAAAAACGTTGCTTGGGGGCTTTTCCAGATAATAATTAATGAATTTTAAAAATGTCAGAATTAACAAAGGCGGCATGCATGCGATTACTGAATCATGATAAACTACCAATATTCCCGATTTAAATCATGTTCAGTTCACAAATTGGTCTTATAATGACTATATTTTAAGTATTTTTAGGAGCCTTAAGCGCTTTAAGTCAGCCTCAAGTCTCTTTGAATAGGAGTTGCGTCATCTTTTTGTTCTAAACTCATGAGGTCTCAAAAGCAGACTTATTTTAGATCATATATATTCTTTTTCTAGGCTTTCAATTAGTTTGTCAAGTTGTTTTTGCTCTAAGCCTGCAAATGGTCTTTAACTGCTTTGCCAAGCTACGATTGCGGACGGATCAACATCGTGCGAGATGGAATTATTGTAGAAAAAAATGAACTTTATGAAACTTTCAGCAATCAAGTTTCAACAAAAAACTTCTGCTCGATTACAAGCTATAACAATTTGTTATTATCGCAAGGGTAATCATCAAAAATTTAAGTGAATTTTCTTGGAGTTTAAGTACTACAGGTGCAAAGTTGTAGCATTATTAGCGACTAAAGATAAAAAAAATACCTGAAACGATCGCAGATAGCTTAGCTGCTACTTCTTTTTTCGAGAGAATCTTTTCCAAAATAGTCAGCAATTTGTACGGCTGGTTCAATTTAATGGCCAATTTAATCGCTTCCAGATAATTTTCTCCTAGTAGAAGATTCTCCATGGCCTGCATTTGAGTCAAGATTTCGTTTTGCTCTTCGAACTTTTTCAATTTGTTCTCGGAAGTGACGTCTTTCCAGGAAACGATAGAAGCATCTGCACCCGCACTAACTATCACCAGTTCTTCAGGTGCCTTTTCAGTTTTTGTTTCAACTTCGTTTGAACTGGATTGCTTTTCCATCACTGAGAGCGACCATACCTGAAGCAATTTTATTAATTTAAATTAAGCTCCCTTTTCCTACTGTATGATTCGATCATTTTCTCAACAACTTATTAAGTTCTACGAAAACTTCTTTAATAATTTAAAACTGGTTCGGAGAAAAATTCTAGATCATTATGGTAGTTTTAAAAATCGCCATAAAACTGATCCATTCAAATTGTTTCTATATCTCTTCATACAACTTCTTCATACCCTTCATCGTGTATTATACCACTATCGAACTATCAAAAATATACACTATTGGCTAACTTTATCGTTGTGACCATCTAAAGTCGTAATACACTCCGATGTTTTCACATCCCACACTTTCACGAGACCGTTAGTAGCCGATGATACAATCTGCGAACTCTTGTTGAAAAGCGACACTTGAATGACCGCACAATCATGGCCCTCAAACGTGGCCATACAAGTCGAGTTGGCTAAGTTCCATAGCTTGACAGTCGTATCACCTGAAGCTGAGACCACAATTTGTTCGTGTTTTGAAAAATCGATCGCCCATATTCCTTTTCTGTGCCCCGTCAATACGGTCGATAGCGTCTGAGATTTGACAAACCAAGCCTTTATGAGCTTATCGTGAGATCCTGTAACTATCAACTCATTATTAGGCGATACTTTGCAGCAATTAATTTGCTTATCGTGAGCTTTCACGGTCCAAGCACATTTCAGAGATCTAATTTGATCGGTATCTTCAGTTTTCAGTTTCCATACCTTCAGAGTCAGATCTTCGCTCACTGAACACAAACTTTGATTGTCATTTACAAAAAACTGGGCGTCCAAAACATCCATTGTATGCCCAACCATTGAGCCAATACATTTTAGAGATTGTTTGTCAGAGTTGAAAATCCAAAGTTTGACAGTTTTGTCTTTCGAAGTCGTTGCAACAAAATTTCCGTCAGTTGACGAACAAACAGATATTATGACGTCAGTATGCGCGCATGTTATTTGAACATGAGAAGTATCAATATTAAGAAGCTTCAAAAACTTGCTTTTCGAAGCAACTGCCAATAAGGCTTTATCATTTCCAACAAAACAAGTCGACGAGATTTCCTCGGGATCTCCCGAGAACATTTTAACAATTTTTAGCGTTTCCAGCTTATAAAGAAAGAGATCATTTGTATATGAGGACGCTATAAATGTTCCATCTTTTTGATTCATGGAAAAAATTGGCGCCAAGGAGGAATCGTCTTCCGTATTTTGGGATGACAACTTTCCGAAAGCTTGCAAGCATCGTCCAGTAGAATCCCACACTTTGAAAACACCTCTGGCTCCAGCTGTTATGAAAATTTTCGAGTTAGATTCAACGTCTATCGGAAGATGACCCACCTAAATATTTACTGCTTTAGTTGACCAATAAGCAAATCTGATGACAAGTAAATGTCTCGTGTTGACCACGTCAAATATTATAATATCACTAAACAATTATTCACTTTTTAATTGATATTTAAATTTTTACTTTTTTCGAACTTTATTTCAAAATTTTTTTTTAAATGCACATATCTTAAGCTTTTTACAATTTTAGAACATCCGGCCTCAAATTATGCCAAAAAAAATCGAACAAAAATTTTCCCTGCTTTTTTAAATCCTTATGGTTTGAAAATTACCTGTTTGATATTTGGCATGATCACTGCTTCTGCTACTTCGTTCAACGTGAAAGAACTTTGATCCATTTGCAACTCCGTGGTCCTGAATCCGTCGTCTAACTTGCCCGGGGTCCACACAAAAGCCAAGCAGTCGCGTCCTATACTCACAAACCAGTTATGTTGGGAGTCAAATTTCAAGTCTAAAACTGCCCCGAAGTGAGCATTCACGCTGAAGACGCACCTCTTTGTCTGTAAATGAGTTATCTGAATCTGACCATTATCATCCGCTGTAACTACTAAATAAACTCCTCCATAGACCCAGAATTTAATCACGCGTATAATCCCACTGTTTTTGATATTATGTGTGTGGTATTGACGAGAGAGGTCGTATATTTTGGTCGTCCAATCGGCACTTCCGGTGGCCAGAAGTGTCCCTGAAGAGTCAATTTCGCAAGATGTCACCGGTGATTTGTGAACCGCCTTCCAAGTTCGCTCACAGTCTGAATTCATGTAAAAGTATCATACATTGTTCCCATAAAAAGATAAGACTCTGTAGCCAATCAGCCATTCTTTTCGCTTTTTTTTTTCAACAAGGAACTAATCCAAAAAGTTTCAGTACATATTTATCATTGAAGTTTTATTTACCAACAAACTGAATTCAAATTTGCATGTTCTACCTTGGGTCGTTAAACTGAAAATCACTTTACTATTCTGGAACCCATCTATCATACTTTTACCCAATTTAATTTCTTCTGATCCATCTTTTTCATCGCCAATGTCAATGACTTCTTTCAATGACCATTTTTTCACCAACATACTTTTCGAAATTGTAACGAGAACACAGTCCGTGAAACAAAAAGAAGAGATTTCATCGTCATCATCCAGTTTAGCACACGCAACTTTCATTCCCGATTGCGTGTCAATGATATTCAGACTGTCCTTATATGGACATACTAGAAACCTTGAATTGTCAAGAAGTCCCACTTTTCCTCCTGAGTAGAATGCCGAAATTGTTTTCGTCTTCTCGAAGTCAGTTCGAGGTTTCAGTTTCTTCGGCATTATCTGAATTCATTGAATAATTTCACTTCGAGTAAAGTAAACAGAATCGGTAGCGCAATTTAATTGTAAGATGAACAGAGATGAAAAGGACCTTCGCCCACTTGCGAGCAAAAATTAGACTATATTAGGCAGGCAATCATATAAAAAATCATAATCTCAGATAATTAGGTTCCATTTGTTGTTCATATGTGACTAGGAGAAAAAGAAAACAAGATAAGTAAATCTCAAGTTTTTTTAAAATAGCAGTTTAAAAAAAAATAATTAAAAAATGTCTCCGCCTCTCAATCGAAATGTCGGATGTTCGAGGCCCACCATGATCCGTGCTCGTTGCTTGCAATATTAATCAGCCCAGAAAAAAGCGCAAGTAGTTCCTAAGTGGGACACAACAGCGGTTCTGTGAGGAGCTGAACAGCCCATATGTTAGTCCTTTCTCTTGAGAATAAATGGTTTTAAATTTCGTTTAAAATTCTCAGTTGATTTGTAAGAATTAAAAGAACCCTGAACAAGCTAAAAAAATAAACGAAGCTGATTTGATTAACATTTATTGTCGCTGATTTTAGACAACGCCAATAACGCCTATATTGGACTCCCAGTACTCGATACTCGCGCCAAACTTCATTCAATTTTCTCCATGTTCTTTTTCGCAGAAGGGGCAGGCAAAATGTTCTACTACAGTCTCCAGGTTACATATTTTTTCAAGTCTAACAGCATTACTGTTTGATCATTTCCGTTTATGAGCACCCAAAATAAATTTTTTACCTTGTTTTTTTTTCGTGGTAGAAGAAGCACTGAATGATTCCTTACGCGCACTGCGATCCAATGATAATTGGCCAACCTCCTTTCCTTGAGCATTCTCGTCACAGTTCATATTTAAACCCATAGATTATCCATATCATTCCTTAAGGCAGATTTTTGCCAAGACTGATTGAACTTTACCATAGGTTGGCAATTCAGTGTGATATACTCAGATTTCAGTTCATTAAAATGTTGTACTGTCTTCTTGCTGTGTTCAGCAAGTATCTCGATTTTGTTATTTTTTAGTGGCCGCAGAGTGGCCGTAAAGGAGACACCTACCCCAGTTATAATCTCTTTGATGGTGAAAAATGATTTTCGTCTGCTTTAATTTGAACCCTGAAAAGCTAACACATGTTAAACAAAGCTGATTTGAATAACATTTATTTTCGCTGATTTTAGACAACGCCAATTACGAAGAGGATTACATCACCAATCTGCAGCGCCAGAGTATAGATTTCATATGAGAACACTCAAAACTGAATAAACGCAAGCTGAAACGTATTCCTCAAAAATGTGTCTGATTTTTCATACATAGTCTCTCAAAATGACGCCCTTATAACAGTATTTGATCTTACGAACAATAAGATGGGCGAGAAAATTAAATCAGACGAAATTGATGCCTGCTATAATCTTCCCAGCGATTGATACGCCAAACCGATGATCGCGAAAATCATTTTTCACCATCAAAGAGATTATAACTGGGGTAGGTGTCTCCTTTACGGCCACGAAAAAATAACATAATCGAGATACTTGCTGAACACGGCAAGAAGACAGTGCAACATTTTAATGAACTGAAAGCTTAGTATACCTTACAGAATTGCCAACCTATGGTAAAGTTCAATCAGTCTTGGCAAAAATCTGCCTCAAGGAATGATATGGATAAATTATGGGTTTAAATATGAACTGTGACGAGAATGCTCAAGGAAAGGAGGTTGGCCAATTATCATTGGATCGCAGTGCGCGTAAGGAATCATTCAGTGCTTCTTCTACCACGAAAAAAAAAACAAGGTAAAAAATTTATTTTGGGTGGTCATAAACGGAAATGATCAAACAGTAATGCTGTTAGGCTTGAAAAAATATGTAACCTGGAGACTGTAGTAGAACATTTTGCCTGCCCCTTCTGCGAAAAAGAACATGGAGAAAATTGAATGAAGTTTGGCGCGAGTATCGAGTACTGAGAATCCAATAACTGCTACGCTACAGAAGAACTTCTTTTTCTAAATCAACACTTAAAAAAATTTTAAATACTGAAGTCATTAGCACCAACTTAGTGTCACGGTCGATTTACTAACGAAACCATATTTAATTCTTTTGTGATACATGGCTCGCTAAAAACGATTAACTCGACATGTTTCTTCAAAGAGATGGTTACCAGTAGGACGTTTGTCAACAGACGGGAAAAAAGTTGTGGTTAGGCTATTTTGTAGAGAATTGTTTAAACAATTAATCAACTTTTGATATTACTTTAGAGCAGATTTCGTAAAAAATTTTAATCAAGGATTGTTACAAAACCACGGTTAGTTTAGCTTACCGCCTACCTAGTTAAGACTTTTCAGAAAATTTCAATCAATTTTTATATGGAAACACTTTTTCGAATAATAATCAAAACAATGTCGGAAACTTTAATATTGACTGTTATCTGAGTTTTTTATTACAAAAATATGCAAAAACCGGATTTTCATCAATTTGACTTCAAAATAAAACAAAGGAACCAGAGTTAATGCAACCTCACAAACTTGGTTTGATTATTTTTTATCACTAAAATTTGAAAGCAACCAAGTGTTCAGTTAATTAACCATCATTTGGGCTTATTTGGAACTATCCTTTATTGTATATGGAGATAGCCCAGTTTTTGTACGGGACTACAAAACACTTTATTCACAGGAGAAGGTACCCCTTCTGATAATCTTACATTGCATATAAAAGCAGATGTATCCTGATGATTTTGCTCCTGAAGTTTAAATACCAAACTAAAAATCGGATCTCAAACAGACCGAAGAATGTAAGAAAGAAGCGAGACAAAGCTCACTCTTTTATGGTGCAATCGACCTAGCCTAAAAACGTTGTACATAGAAAAAAGAAAACTCGAATGAAATGAGAAACCAGATCTAACAGGAAGACTTTCTATGATAAAAAAAAGTCAGGTAGCGATAATTCGAAACAAATATTCAGAACAGCCAATAATTTTTGTGGGAAAAAATTGTTCTCTGATGTGTAATATTTATGTTAATGCGCACAATACTTTGTTTTTACCGCATTTGAATAGTGATATTTTCCGTGACTAGCTGAAAAATGTCCGGAAAACCTTTATTTTGAATAGTTGTCCAAAACAATAGCCAGAAACAGTGAGATGACTAGGGTGTGTAAAATTTTAAGAAAGTTCATGGTTAATGGGGAGATTAACCAAAATTTGTAACTGGCCTTTTCAGCTAGTCTTCCCTAAGAGAAACTAAAAAAGATAAGCGTATAACGCACCTCCGGTACTTCAAACAAATTATGAACATGGCTTTTGCTTTCATATAAATTATTTGGAAAAAAAGCTGCGAAATAAATGCAACCATAAAAAGAGTCGGAACAATCCAACAATGCTTTTTATTTCAAAATTTGAACAAAAAAAATAATTTTGACTTGAAGGTTTTTAAACTAAGATGGTCAGACCTCAAGAACTAGTGGGTTTCATATCTTCATAAACGAAAACAGAAAAAGCCGACAAGATACAACTGCATTTTCCATATTAAAAAAAGAAACACTTTCAATTGCAACATCATCAAATTCATATATGGGAGACATAATCCAGCGTAATTGATTTTCAGTTATCAGACTTTTGTCATTAATGAAAAAATTTGAGTAATAATATTAGGATGAGAGGCCATATATGCATCCGCTGGTAGTAACCTGATATCACCCCGTCAAAGGGTCCACAAGTTCAAATTTTGAAAAGTATTTATTTGAAATTCAACTTTTGAAAGTTTTCCAAAGATAGAAAGGTCATATCTAAGAAAGCAAGACCCGAAAGCAAGTAAGATTCCAGACAAACATCCTGAGAAAACCTCGAGCGCACCCCACAATAGCGTTGAGTATTTCGAACTTGAAAATTATTTTACATCTTAAGTTTTAAGAAACATTTTGAAAACAAAAAACTGCAGATCTCAAAAACTAAAATGATTTGAGTGCATCAATTTGTAGGCAAGATCTTAAACCTGTGAGAGTACGCAGAAAACACCCCATAGCTGGGTTGGGAATTTCAAATTTTGAAACGTTTTTTTTTTTTTTTCGTTTTTTTTTTGAAAAATATGAAACATGTTAAGAAAACGACGCATCTCGGTAACCAAAAACATTTGAGCAGTTACCATCGGAAACAATATTTGCAACGTCTGAGAATACCCTGACAGCACTTCACGCTATAGAGTTGAGAATTTCAACTTTTGTTAAATATCTGAGTTACTTGAAAACTTTTAAAAAACGTCATATTTCGTTAACTAAAACGATTTAAGAAGTCAAATTTTAAGGAAAGATTTGAAAACCCTGAGAGTACCCTCACAGCACCCAATTACAGAGTTGAGCAATTCAATTCTTGTCCAAGATTAATTTTCATTTTGAAAAAATGATAAAACAACGTCATATCTCGTAAATTAAGATTTGAGCAGTCATATTTTGAGGCAAGATTTGGAAAACGCTTACAACATCCCACTATCGAGTTGCTTATTTCAAATTTGGCGAAAAACACACAGTGAAGCCTGAAAATTGATAAAATTTCTTAAGCATTGCAACATACGATATAGCTTAAACGTGCAAAAATTCTTGCGTTAAACATGCAAAATAATACGTTGAAAAAGCTTAAACATGGCGAGATTCTGAAGCCCGCATTTGAATATATAATAGATAACAGATTAACAACGGGGCAAGTTACATGTCCGGGGTACTGCTCGTGTTGCTGTCACATGGAAGCCCCATAAGTAATAGGATGTTGACTTAGTGAGGCGAGTAAATATTCAGTTAACTCTCCCTAAGGCTATCCTCGTGTTGGGGATGTCAGAGCACGAAAATGGGCAATATTCATTCGCAGCACCGAGAACTGCATTACTCTTTTTTGAGAGCAGAAACTAAAACTTCAATGACAGCTGCTGCGGGAGTATCATGACACATAGTCATTTAGAGATTAAGATTGATGGCCTTTATATTTACACATTGCGCTTGCAGATTTCAGCCTTTCACTGTTTCTGGTTTCTCGTGAAAGGAGTTGTCAACGGCGATGGAGAAATGGATAGCTTTCGTAAATGATCCATTCTAACTGGTATATTTAGAGCCCAATGAGGGATTGTGATTGAAATCGAGTATTCCGCATGAGCAAAACGAAAAAAACCTATAGAGTATATTATATAATATCAGTGATGATACATTTACAAATTACCAGGAATAAATCAAATTGACTTTCAATGACAAAAAAACTGCTCAAATCACAACAAAAACCAGACTTCGGCAACTAAGCCGTCAAAAAGTAACTTAACTTTTCTCTTAAAGGCCTTAACTTTTTTCTTCAAAGAAGAGGCCGTAGCCGAGGTCAAAAAGTTCCCAAAACACGGTCAACAAACCTCCAAAAAATTTTCCGAGGAGCATAACTTTTAGTGTAAAAATTGGGCGTAGCCATTTAAGCCGGTGAACTTCTTCACACAACCTGTTATTTCGATTAAGATCTGGATATCAGATTTGACAGGATAGTTATCGAAAACAGTCAAACAATTTCCAAAACACGCTCAATAAACCTCCAAAAAAAATTCCGAGGAGCATAACTTTTTGTGTAAAAATTGGAAGGTGAACTTCTTTACACAACCTGTTAATTCGATTAAACCCTTGATATCAGAATTTGCAAGATAGTTATCAAGAACAGTCAAACAATTTCCATAACACGGTCAATAAACCTCCAAAAAAATTCCGAAGAGCATGACTTTTTGGGTAGAAAGTGGGCGTAGCCATTTAAGCAGGTGAACTTCTTCACACAATCTGCTAATTCGATTGAGCCCAAAATCTTAGATTCGAAAGAGTAGTTTTCGAGAAATGTCTAATTCCAAAAAAAGCTAAAAAAAAAACAAATATAATCGACTTTTCCGATGTTCATAAGATTTTCACGTCCATAATGTAAAAAAATTGGCCTAGGCTGCTAAGGCAGCTGAGCTTACCACAACCTGTTCTCTCCGTCGAACCCAAAATCTGAGATTTGGGAGGGTAGTTTTTGAGAAAATCCAAAAACTGGGTCAGAAACTCCCCCCCCCCCCCCAAGACTGTTTTCGAAGGCTGTAGAAAGTGGGTTAATGTAAGAAGAGACTAGGCGTTCATGCAAGCACATATGTGAGTGGGCGGCCTAATTTATGAAAAGCGAATTAGTTTTTTAGAAAAGCTACAATTTTTGAGAAACGAAAAATTTCCCAAAGCGTCAAAAAAACCGACCACATACATTTTCATAATAGCTGTTTTATCAAACGGGAATTTTGTCTTCGAAACGGCGCAATTTAATATGACTTAGTCTATATAAAACTATCCGAAAAAGTTTGAAAAGAGAAAAAAACTATTCAAAATCAGAATTTTACAAATTCGAAGACAACTTTCAATTATAATAATCACTGTCAAATTTAAAAAACACTCTTTGCAAATCCGGATGGTTAAAAATTGTTTTAACTAAAAAATTTGCTATCTGAAAAAAAAAACGGAAAATGAGCCGATGGAAATTAAGACGAAAACGATGAATCCGAAAAAATATCAGGATCTTGGTAAACAAGTTGTTAGCCTGGAAAAAGTATACTTTCCGATTTTACAACACTTGCTAATCGCAAGCGTAACCAATAGCTGACATACTGGCAACCTTGACAGCAGCAGCCTAATGAGGTGCCATTGATTATCAAATGCGAATTCAAAGTAAAGTTCTGATCACTTAACAAAACAAAAGCTAGGCGAAGAGTGAATTACTCAACACAAAACCGGAAACATATCAATTCAGACGTTTCAAACAGTCTTGTCTCCACCAGCGGATACCACAACGGTTCGTTCTCGCTTGCTCGGACCGTAGTAGGCCTTCTTCTCAGCAGTAGTCTGGAATCGGCCGGTTCCCTTTTTGCTGGTGGTGTCAATAAGCTTCAAATTCACTTTCTCCATGGCACTTCTCGATCCCACATGCGACAACATGCTTTTTCTTAGCGTCAACAGACGTCTCTTAGGTCCTCCGCAACTTCCTGAAAATTTCAAAGTTTTATCGTTGAATTTTTTTTTGAAACATTTGAACAAATTTGAGTGCAAAACTTATGTGAAAAAAAACAATAGTAATTTAACATACCTTTGATCATGAGAAAATCATTCTTGATATATCCATAGAGTGGCCATCCACCCATTGGATTTATCGTCTTGTTGGTAATATCAGCCTCAGTAACACCTGACTTCTTCATTTCATCTTTGTCTCCAACTCTGTAGATCTTCTTGTTGATCTCAGTTCGATGATGGTAACCCTTTTGACCAGCACGTGCAACAGAATACTGGATACGAGCAGGATGCCAGGCTCCGATACATGCCACCTTTCTCAATCCTTTGTGAGTTTTTCGCGGAAGCTTCTTGGTATGCCAACGTGAAGTGACACCCTTGAAACCTTTACCCTTTGTAATACAAATCACGTCTATCATTTCTTCGAAGTTGAACACATCTTTGACCCGTACATCCTGTTCAAACTTGCTGACGACAAAATCGATTTTCTCAGCAATGGTTCCTCCGTTGATCTGAAATTCCATGATGGGATCACGCTTTGTCTGCACGGATCGAATTCGCTTTTTGTTGTTTACAACCATCTGAGTATGGCAGATAGCTCGAATTGAAGTGCAATACTTCTTCATCAGCTCCTTCAATTTTTCAAGTTCCTTTTCCGATCCATACCTTGAAGCAATCTTAGAGAACGCATTTGTCTTCTTGGTTCGATACCAATTCCTCACAATTCTCTTCTTGAACCCATCGTTGACATGCTTTGCCCAGATAGTCTTTAGCTGCTTCAAACCATTGGGGGTCTTGATGTACCCGACACAACCAACTACAGTCATTGGTGGTGTTTCTATCATCGTCACGGGTTCAGAGGTCTCTTTGTTGTGCAGCTTGGATCCTGGTTTCTCAACCTCTCTTATGACATGGGTCATTCCAGCCTTGAATCCCATAAATCCAGTGAAATGAGGCTTCTTGGAGGGGTCATCTTTCGGAAACGCCTTTATCTTTCCTCGACCTCGCTTGCATCGTTTGCGGGGAAGAAACCCAAGATGTCCATGCCTTGGCGCTTCGAACTTTCGGTGAGACATTTTTCACTCCTGAAAACTTAAACAATGTTATATTTGCTTTTTACCATAGCAGCTCACAGTCTACTAAAAGGCCGATCACTTAATTATTTTCGAGAAAGCAAGAACACTTTCTAGTTGTTCAACCTATGACTAAAAAGCAACGTTTCTAAAAGCAGTCAAACAGTAATGGGTCGACGAACAGATGAATTTAAGGCAGTACCAACTGTTTAGTGTGATATCAAAGCGTTCGACGTTATTGAGTTATTTGAGCAAATAACCACAACATTAATTGCCACAAAACTCGTAACTGAGCTTAGTTTGCGCAACAGTGTAATATCAGAACAGCGCATTGTATATGACAAAACCAAATATTCGGAGTAAACCTTAAATCAAACCTTTCAGCAATGAACTGGGAAAACTTCTAGACGAAACACCTCAGAGAAAATATATTCAAGGTGTGCCAGTCGATCATAAGAAAAAAAGGTACTACTATGATAGAGTGGTCCCTCGAAAAAGCAACTATGATAGACAGGTCCCGCATGCATTTCGCATGTTATAATTTTGAAAACTAATTTGTGTATAAATTATTCATTTCTTGCATCTTGCAAAATATGTTCAGCCAGAAACTTTTCAGATTGAAAATTGTAATCACTATTGATTATATATTGAAATTTGCTCGCTTTACTTTATTTTACGGTTTAACAACCAAATAATTAGGTTGACTTATTTGTCATCAAAACGCACTATTGGCGTTTTTTTTTTAATTTCCAACCTTAAAATGGTGAGGGGGAGGTTCTAAGAGGTAACAAAACATGAAATTTGCTTGAAAATATACTGCGACATCTTTCTGAAAGGCGTAATCATAATTATTAAACGATTTGAGAGCTCTAGGTGTCTTATTCTCAAGGTACCTGGTTATTTTCAAGGGACCACTCTATCATAGTAGTACCGAAAAAAGTTTTCGATCTAGAGTTTTTCAAAAATTTCGATTTTGGCCTTATATGCAGTTTTCTTGTAGTAACTGCAAATCAGAAAAGAAAATCAGAACAGCCGATTTTATAATTGCGGAAAATACGCTAGAAGAATCAATTTTTGACTCCAGTCTTTTTTTCCTGACAGAGAATTCAACAATAGAATCCGCAAAGTGGTCGAGAAAAACCTGCAGTATAATTACACCATTATTCTTCATGATAAAATTATAAAAACAGTTTGAGAGATAAGCAAGATATGATTTGACATTTGACCAGAATGGACAAAAAGCAATTTCGCGCTCGAATTTTTACTGGAACATCTAACCGAGCAGATTGATGGTTTTAATGAATTAGTGACGTTAATTGAACGATCAGACAAATCGGGAACGGCTAGTTTTGACTGACAAGCTAAAGGTTAAATTTTCGATTTGGACAAGAAAGATGCTCAGAGAGAACAACAACGGAAAAACGACAGCACATTGAGATTGTGACTAGAAATTTACAACTCGGAGTGATTTCTGACAATTTCTAGTCACTGTAACATTCGTCTACTGCAGTCACACATGAGGCTTAAGAAAAAAGGCCCTATAACCATTGGCTCAAGAGTCAGGGACACTATCTCTTGTGTTTTTGTACCTCAAATCAGTCGGAGCCAATTCGGTTCGCTTGTGACATGAGACTACGACCCGTTACAGCTTAAAGGCTACTACTAAAATATCCCCCCACTCTAGAATTAGAAACGTCCCCATACTTAGGTCTCTAGATACCCAAAATACATGAACGCCGTTAAAAACCGGGTTGGAACAATCCGTTAAGTTACTTTTTATTAGACAGTGGAACTTTGATCCATTTCAGATGGATCAACCTAAAACTCGCCTTACCTCAACATAACAATTATAAAACACACTCTAGAAATTTAAATTAGTACTCACATTGTAGCACGCTCAAGAAACAGGAAGTAAATAAGTCGGTATTGTTATTCAAGAATCAATAAAGTAACTAAAATGAGTTTAATGTTAGTCAGTTTTAATAACAAGAACAAGTTTTTACTCTAGACTGTAAGTTCTCGTGAACCATTGGGACACTCTAGCTGTCCACCTTTCCACCGAAGGTTCACTCTAGTCCAGTTTAGAATAATACTCCAATCACAACAATCCAGTTCGTGGGAATGCGCTCGTCTCTGTTTTAGATGGGACAGCTCTACTCTCGATTATTATTGCTACTGAAATTGCGAATAGCAATTTCCCACTGATTTTTCTAGCAACTTTCCCGCGATTGTCACTCGATCGTTCTGACTTCTCTTTTCTGATTTTCAGTTATCGCGAGAAAATCGTGCATAACAGATTCCATTCGAAATTTTGAAAAATTAAATTTCACTCCAAAATTAAGTGCTTTTTGCTTCTCTCAAGGTCAAACTTCCAAATATGACCGACTGGCACATACTCCCCGGACTCGAGATCGATGTCCTCATCGCGTGCTGTCTTCTGCCAGTAAGTCCCAGAAAACCGAGTGTTACTCAAGATACAGTGCCAGTGGTCATTTACAGAAGTTTGCAGCAGACTTAAGCTTATCTACACCCCAAAATTCAAAGCCATGTAAAATTTTCACACTATCGCTAAACAGCAATCAAAATCTGCACACACCTGCACTTGAATTCTCGTTTTTCAAGCCAATTTAAAATTTCTTTTGTCCCATTCAATTAGGAAATTGTCATGCAGCATTTTCGTTTATATAATAGATATAGCATATTAATAACAATATCTTGTTTTGTTAAAATTTCTTTTTCGTGAACCCAGGTTTCACCCGGATCCACGCTCAAGCCCCCTTTCCCTCTCAAGACTCAAGATCCATTCGAGCCACCTGCTCATCTCGCACTCTTCGCCTTGGAGGTACTGCACCCTGAAGTACTAGATACGGCAAACTGTCTCAACAGTTCCTCTTCATCATCGGAGCTAATCACAATCTCCTCCCAAGCCTTCAGCTGCTCGTAGGATCGCATCCATTCTCTTTGCTCTTGCAACCTCTTTGCTTGGTTGGGTAGTGCCTTCACCCTAGATTCCCGGTTCAAACAAAAGGAATTGTGCAGGCTCAAGCTCACGTTCTTCGCCAGGTCCTCCTCTAGTATCGATTCCCTCGCCTTGGTATTGTCTCTAGACATTTTACCCACTCTCTTCCATCCTGTCGTGATTGCATTACGATGGGTTAACAGGGGTCTCTTGAAAGCTTCCGGACCAATCTCGGCCTGGAACTGTCGATACTCCTTTTGATGTTTTCTCATGTGATCTTTCGTTGTCATGTACAACCAGGTCATCAGCGTCGCCCGAAACCATGGGAAGTACCTCAAACGGCTCCAGACATGTCTGACTTCCGTTGGTATGGCGAATACCTTGCACGCAGTCTCAAACAACTCGAATCTCCTACTGTAGTCTATCGCGTATATTGACTCTGCCGTTGGCGTCCCCGCTTCCCGATACTTCGTTATATTCTCTTCTATCCATCTCAGAGCCAAGATCGTACTCACTACCAAGATCGTCACCTTCTGTCGGTGATCCGGTAGTCCGATCGACCGGATTTCTTCTATATCCCACACCAGGCAAAGGTTCTTGTGATCTGGATACCACACCGTTTGCGCTAAACAGTGGCATGGGCAATCTCCATGGGTGATTTCAATGCTCCTGAGGTTACGCTCCCCCGAGGCTTCCAAGAGAGGCTCAAGCTCCATCATTTTCTCATGCATCGTGTCGTTATCTTCCAGGTTTGCAGCACTTCCCACAGGTTTTCCGATCACGTTTTGTCTCTCGTGATCGCTTGTGTTCTCTCTCTCCAACTTCAAAAGTTCTTCTCCCCAGATTTCACTCAAGTCATCTCTCAATTCTTTTGGTACTGTCCCTCTGATTTTTCTCAACAACTTGTGCGAGTGATGCGATATCCGAGCCAACCTCACGCACTTGGGCACTGAGAAGGCCTTGTCCACCAGTACTCTCTGGCTGGATGCTTCCACCATCACCATGTGCAGTGGGTAGTGACTTCCGCACAAGTTGGCCACCATTGACCCTATCAGCGATTTCGCGTTCAATGGCAAGCCATAAGCTTCGCTCATGGGAAATCCCATTTCCGCCTCGAGACCAACCTTCCAGCTCCGGATGTGTTTTTGAGTCACCTGCAACACCCCGGGCCATGATTCTACGCTCAACGCCGTCACTAAATGATGTTCAGATTCTAGTCTTTCCAGTGACTGCAGACTACACATTCTCGAGAAGAATCCGAGAGCTGTCGCTATATTCACCGTGGTTCTCGCGTAACACTCCGCTACTATTTGCACTTCACTTTTCTCTCTTTCTGTTATGTCTTCGAACCAAGTGACCAGGTCTTCTTTTTGAAATGACAGTATTCTAACGCATGACCGTCCATCGCAGGTGTGCTCTCCGTTTCCACACGTCGAATCCAGACAGCTACCCGGCTCCAATTTCTTCGCTGACCCGGGATTACTCGTCTTTTCGCCTGGCTCTTGCATCTGAGGTGAAATTAGCTTATGCAGCACACTCAACTTTGCCAGATCTTCATCTTCCGTTGGTGCTAACCTCACTCGCTCGGTGGTTTCCTCGATCAGACTCGCGTGGGGATGTGGACACCAGGGGGGTCTTAATAGCTTCCATACCACTCCCAAGTTCGTGGTTAACAAGCCATTTCCATCGCCCATGTTCACTTCAACTCTCTTGTTTGAACGCGGTATGCTCACCACCTCTGGTGTTTTCTCAAGAATCAGGCCCAGGCTCGGCCCCTCTTTTTCCACCGCGTCTATTTCCATTATTCTTTCTGTCCAAAACTTCAGTAGCTCCGCTACCTCATGGTTCCTGTGGGCGCCTCCAGCTTCCTAGTCTAAGAAGGGGTTGTAGGCCATTCCCATCACTCCAGACACATATTGGTATTCCCCCTTCTCGCTGAGCCTCGAGTACTGCTTTGACGAGGCCAGGTTACGGTGAACATCATGTTCTTCTTCGAACTTCTTATTATAAAACCTCCGTACCTCGTCTAGCTTCCTATGGTTCTCTAGGGATAGTCTGGAACCCTCTTCCTTTTCTATTCCTGTG